CCAATGAGGGGTCTTTGCCACCATCTCTACAAAGCATAGCAATCATGTCACTTATATGTCTCATCCCTACCCTCTCCACAATTATCCTGCTTTCCTGGAGTGTTTGTGTGGTCATGGTCGGGGGCGGGGGGCATTAAAAACAGAAGACAGTTTGATATGGCCATTTGCCAAAAAAAGAGAGGAAAATATGGGTGAATAAATATTCACTTAAGGAAGACAGGCTTACAAAGGAAAAAGGAACTAGAAAAAGAAAGATTTTAATATCTGCCAAAATGTTACTCAGTTATTATTCTCTTCTACTCACTTGGTTGGTCACTATTCACAGATCTTTATCTGTTCTTTATCTTTAAACTCCAGATTTTTCCTTTCACTTACCGGCCATTGAAAGTATTAAAAGAAAAAAATTCAATCACTTTTTAATTGCATTTTCTGTTATTTGGTTCCTTTAGATTCTAAACATTATGCACAAAACTAGATTAAATGTAGCCAATGCAAGGTTAAAAGCTTCATGCACAAAAATCCATTAACTTTCTAATACTTTCAGCAGATGAACCTAATTTCAAATGAAAGCTGCCTCCAGAAAATATTGTTAAGCCTGTCTGGATACAATTTGTTTTGGCAAACACTCTGTAGAAAATTCCACTGAACTAAATTTAAATTGCCCATGGAGCAAAAAGTATTTTTGAACAGCTTTAGATGAATCCTAAAGGCTGACGATGCTTGGAAGAAAAACAGTCAAGAAAGTATATGGCAATGATGGATGGGTTAGAAATTGTAGTTCTGGGTAATTTGTCTCAACTAAAGAGACTATCTACATTTAATTTGATGAACAGTTTATCTTGAGGCCTATTTAGGTGCAACCTGAAATACCAAAACTAAATCTCTTTATCTATAGGTTTTATTGTGAAAAAATAAAACAAAATTTTCCTGGGTTCCATTCCGGTCAAGGGCACATGCCCGGGTTGCGGGCTCCATCCCCAGTAGGGGGCGTGCAGGAGGCAGCCGACCAATGATTCTCTCTCATCATTGATGTTTCTATCTCTCTCTCCCTCTCCCTTCCACTCTGAAATCAATAAAAATATATTTTTTAAAAAGTATTAAAAACTAAAATTATAGTTATTAATGAAGTACTAGAATGTAAAACTATCGTTTAGTAGCTGCAATCCCTTTCATTCATTAGCTTTCCTATTGTGGCCCAAAGAGTATCCATACATTATAAGATAAAGTTTTCCCAAAGCACCCTTCATTTATAGGAACCCCTAAATGCCAAATTTCGCTGACTGGATAGTGGGCAAATAATCCATTATTCTGTACACTGAATCACCTTACTGAACAGATTTTGTGGGAAATATTTTCACATGCCACTCAAAGTTGGTATTAGAACATTGCCTAATTCTCTCTCACCAAACCAACTATGCTATAGGTAAAAGGAAATTAGCTTTTATTAATTACAAGTACACTGGATAGAAACATCTACATTATTCAAAGTTGAGGAGCGGGTGATGGAAATGTCCCTCTGTGTTAGAGCTCAAATGACTTTTCTTTCTTTCTTTTTTTAAAATATATTTTTGTTGATCTCAGAGAGGAATGGAGAGGAAGAGAGAGATAAGGAGCATCACTGATGAGAGTCATTGATCGGCTGCCTCCTGCACGCCCCACACTGGGGACTGATCCTGCAACCCGGGCATGTGCCCTGATTGGGAATCGAAACCTGACCTCTTGGTTCATAGGTCGATGCTCAACCACTGAGCCACACTGGCTAGGCTGCCTTTTCTTTCTCTTTGCTCTCCTTCAGGATCTCATCTCACCTGATCCTACCATCACCCTCCGCTTCACAGACCTTTAGACTCTTGTGACTTTCCATCCTTTAAGACGCAACTCAGACATCACCTCCATGAAGCCTTCCCAGATTACCCAGGGCACCATGACTTCAAAGTACCTACTGCTTCTGCCGTTAACCTATGGCTGGGTGGCAAGAGTTGAGTAATATTCAAGCTTTCTATTGACCACTTGTTACAGATGCTGCTCAAGCAACTAGTGATGAATTAGATTAGACATCCTGAGAACCAGATTATCTTTTTTTTTTTTAACTTCTACTCCCAATTAGATCATGAACTTCTTTTAACACAGTTACCATCCTGTTGTTTATCCTCTTTACATCCCATTTAGTAACCTTTGTTATAAGGGTGGTTGCATCCATTTGTGTATAAGGAAAGCTCTCCCCTGAATTGAGAAACCATTTTCAACTACTTTTGTAAGAGGCCTGTCTCAGAGACTAGAAATGGAAACCAGCAGTCCTACAGGATAAGACTTGGGCACTCCTGATTTTAATGGTAGCAGCAGGGCCAACTATATTATCATACAGTGACAACGAGGGAGTCAGAAAAGAATACCAGGAAGGAGCCACTAGAGCCACAGGGACAAATACGCCAAATGCCTGGACCTAGGACAGGATTTGTGATCTCTGAGTTCAAAGCTAACTATGAGAGGATCAGAAATCCATATTCTGTAAGCTTTTTTAAAGAAACTCTTTTGACATCCTCCAAATTTCCCTTTTGTTTTCTACACATAGGAGGTGAAGTTGCTTTGAAAATCCATTAAGGGAAAGGAATTATAGGTTTTGCCCTTGCCTGAGCAAACATAGAGCCAAAACATGGTAGGGCAACACACAACCAAGTTAAAGAAGCCTATGGAACAGGGTAATCTGGAGGAAGAGGGCGGCCACCTGCCTGGTTCTAAACACTAGAAGGTCTAGAGTGTGTTTTACCAAGATTGGCAGCATTTTAAAACAGATAAACATTGTATTATTTGCATTAAGAACTGAAAGTGGCCCAGCTGCGGTGGCTCAGTGATTGAGCATCGACCTATGAACAAGAAGGTTGGGGTTCGATTCCCGGTCAGGGCACATGCCCAGGTTGCAGGCTCAGTCCCCAGAATGGGGCGTGCAGGAGGCAGCCAATCAATGATTCTCTCTCATCATTGATGTTTCTATCTCTCTCCCTCTCCCATCCTCTGTACATTTCTGTGATACATGACCTGTATCAATAGGAAAGCTAATGAATGAAAAGGATTGCAGCTACTAAATAAAAAATAAATTTAAAAAATATATATTTTTTAAACTGAAAGTGTATTATCTGCAAAAATTTAGAGAAGCCATGCTAAATATTTTCTATATTACAGGGTGACACATTATTGAGTAAAGATTATCATACTTTCATGAATAAAAAACTCCTTTCTCCTTAACAGTATCAACAAGGTCTGTTTTCCCAATTGCTTTTGTACAATATGCAAACACACTTTTCCCATCATAAAATAATGCTGAACTCCAGCTAAAAGATTACAGGTAGTACTTTCAATAGTTACTCTACATATACTTTTTTAATGACAAAATTTGTCTTATGCGTTGTGAAATAACTTTTCTGTGGCATTAACTACTTTTAAAACAATGCAAACAGTAAATTATTTTATTTTTTATTAAATTTATTGAGGTGACATTGGTTAATAAGATCATATAGGTTTCAAGTGTACATTTCTGTGACACATGACCTGTGTATTGCATTGTGTGCCCACCACCCAAAGTTAAATCATCTTCCATCACCATATATTTGACCCCCCTTTCCCTTTACTGCTCCCCATCCCTTCCCTTTGGTAACCACCATACTGTTGTTTATTTCTATGAGTTTCAGTTTTATATCCCACATATGAATGAGATAACATGGTTCTTAGCTTTTTCTGACTGACTTATTTCGCTTAGCGTAATATTCTCAAGATCCATCCATGTTATTTTATCTAGAAATTTCCTACCGTTGTCCCAATAATGTAAAATAAAATTAATCATATACTTAAAAGTTATGACATAAATTTATATTACAAATGATATGCTCATAATTTTAAGTATAGCTCATTAAATTAATCTTAAATATAAGTTCTCAAGATAAATTTATTAACACTTTAGTGCTTCACATCTTAAATTTGTGCAATACTCCATTGGAAGCAACAGAATTGTGGTTCAGTTCTTAGGTGAAATTTGCTGAAACTTCTTGAGATTTTCATATAATTTTAAACCCACTTGTTTTGAGGTGAGACAAACAGTAAATCTGAAAGACTGAATCAAGTTTCTCTTATCTACCTTAAAGATTACCTATAAAACTTTAGTTTAAAACATTGATTTTAAAAAATATAACATCAGCATGAGATATGGGGTAACTTTTTCCTAAAAACCTACAAAATAGAGTTCTTCCTTACAAAGGATGAGAAATTATTCTTTTTTTCCCCAAAAAAACTTCACTCAGTATATTTCTCTAAGAAGTCAAATTTCATATGGGGTACTGAATATGCTCAAAACTATAAAACATTAGCTAAAAAGTACTTAACTTAGAAATTACAAAAATAGAAAATGCCAATGAACTATATTCTATACAGGGCACACCAATCATACACTATTTTTTATGATTTAAAGTATACTTATAGAACTTTAGTCTCAGCAAAAAAATGATTATATAGTATTGGGGTGGAGGAAATCTGGTTATTCAATCTTGACTTTGATTGAGTTCCATGTAAATAGAAATTTACTATTAAGAACTACTTTTGGTATAAAAGGTAATCAGATCCAAAAGTGTTTAGGAATAACCTGAGATGTTAGAAAAGAGATGTATACAATCAAAACAGGCTCCTTAAATGGCATTAATAATTAAATGCATTAAATATAATCAAATGGCATTAAAATATTAGAATAGAAATAGTAACTATTATTAAATGCCATTTTGCCACTGATACTGGTATTTACCAAAGTATTGAAGAAGTGAAAATATTAGAGAAGTAATACTTTCAGGTAGAATGAGGAAAAAAAAGGTTTGGATAAAATTTAAAGTACTTATTGATAATTAAGAAACGAGTGGGTCTAGGAGTAGTAATTCTTCCAAATGGAGCACATACTGCAGGCAAGTAGAGTATTTTATCAGTAGGCAACTCACTGCAATTAAAAAAAAATATTGTCACTTTCAGGGAATCCTTGACTCCTCATTTCTCTGGGGGCTTTTCAAATTCGTTGGCCTTCTTTTGATGAAGAAATGTGAAAACGGACGTCAATGTGCCATCGCCACTCTGTTGTGAATAGCAAAGGAAGGTGGCCCACAGAAAACCATAGAGTCCCGTGTAAGCTGTTCTCCACTGAATAGGAACAAGGCAGAAGTTGGTAAGCTGTAACAGAAAGAGGATGTTAGGACTGTATAAACCAGTGATGGCGAACCTATGACACGCCTGTCAGAGGTGACATGAGAACTCATTTTTTTGGTTGATTTTTCTTTGTTAAATGGCACTTAAATATATAAAATAAATATCAAAAGTATAAATCTTTGTTTTGCTATGGTTGCAAATATTAAAAAATTTCTATATGTGACACGGCACCAGAGTTAAGTTAGGGTTTTTCAAAATGCTGACACACCGAGCTCAAAAGGTTCGCCATTACTGGTATAAACCAAAGTCAGGAGTTAGCATTCTGAGTGGTTGAAAACTCACATGAATAGGGAACATTTGAGATCTTGCTCCCAGGCATATGTCATCAGTTCGGTTTAAATAAACTTTTATAAGAATTTAAAGAACTAAAAAAAAAAAACTCACCTGTACAAAAGGCCAGTACATCAGACCAGTCTGGAATTTAAAAATATATATATTAGAATGCCTCTTAATCACAGTTCGTTCCATAAAAGATTAAGAAATACCAGGCAGCTAGTATTCGGAGGTGGTATTTTATTTCAGACTAAGCCGATTAAATTAGACTACTTAAGGTCCCTTGCATATAACTGGGTGGGGAGTTGTGGGAAAAGCTGTTAGGTACAAGACATTTATACTAGTTATATTCACAGATCCAGAATGTAAAGTCTACCAGAATCACTATCAATTCTGTTAGACAGCTGCTTTCAAAATAACAACATATATTTATATATTGCAATTTTCCTGTTAGCCCAAGCAAATAATAAAGAAACATATTTATAAAAGGATCATCAATAAATTTTTAAAAGTACACCAAATCCATTCTTTATGGAATGACTTGCTAATAATATATTTTACTATTTCATGTGATAGAATAAGTTTAGCTGACATTTTTGTTTTTTTTACAAAATATTTTAAGATAGGTTTATTTTAATAGGCTTTAACCTGTACATTCTGATAAAAATGGTCATCATTATGGATTTTTTTCAAAGCTACAAGTCTTGGTATGTAAATTATACCTAAAAAAAAAAAAAAGGTTTTAAAAAACAGTCCTTAAAAGTAGTATTACACTAGTAATATAAAGGTGGTATTACTTTCTTTTTTATTTTACTAACTTGTACTAGTATTTCCTAAAGTTTCTACAATAAACCATTTCAATAAAAGCTGTTTAAAATATATACTCATGTAAGAATTTATCATTTTAGCAAAAAGGACCAGGAGAGTAAACTCATCCAAACATGGCTTTACTTCTTATGGCAATATTTTTCTTTCAGAACATAACATCACCTAGGATATTGCATTGCACGGATCCTGGTCTCCCCATTCCCCACTAAAAGGGAAAAGGACTCCTCAAAGAAATGGCTGGTCCCAGGGCTGGGGCAGGGCAAGTAAAGATAGAAGGTAAGCCAGGGATATCTTGTTATGAAAGTAAGGAAGTGATTTTTTTTTTATTTAAAAAGTGGGAGTCCCTGGCCAGGTGGCTCAGTTTGTTGGAGCATGGTGCCAAACACCAAAAGGGTGAGAATTCGATTCCCAGTCAGGGCACATACCTAGGTTTCAGGTTTCATCCCCAGTCGGGACATGCCCAGGAGACAACCAATCAATGTTTCTCTCACATCGATATTTCTTTCTCTCTCTCTCTCTCTCTCTCTCTCTCTCTCTCTCTCTCTCTCTCTCGCTTTCTCTCTCTCTCTCTCCCTTCCTTGCTCTAAAATTAATTTTAAAAAACAAACATTAATTTTAAAAAACAAACATATCGCCCAAACTGGTTTGGCTCAGTGGATAGAGCGTTGGCCTGTGTACTGAAGGGTCCCAGGTTCGATTCCAGTCAAGGGCATGTACCTTGGTTGCGGGCACATCCCCAGTAGGGGGTGTGCAGGAGGCAGCTGATTGATGTTTCTCTCTCATCGATGTTTCTAACTCTCTATCCTTCTCCCTTCCTCTCTGTAAAAAAATCAATAAAATATATTTTTTTTAAAAACAAACAAACATATCCTCAGGTGAGGATTAAAAAAACAAACAATGGATGTCACTAGAACATAGGAGCCAGCTTGAAGGGACTCTCACTGGCCAAATCCCAGACATTCAAGCACCAAAGATAATTACACACAGTAATGAATCGTAAGCCACTGAAAAAATGAGAATCCTTGAGTCCAAGCTGATAATAGAGAAATGAATAAATAACTGGAATACAAGAGCAGGCATTTGTTTACAGATCTCTGAGCGCCACCTGGTAAATGTGGAACCGGTGCTGGAGTTGGAAACTCATCATTTGGCAACCATCACAACGGCCAAGACTGGTTCAGGCAGAATTCGGGTGCCAAATCTGGGGGTGGGGTGGAATATTCTGATGGGGAGCAGGATGTTTATTTGCATGGTCTTAAAGTGCCTCCCTACAGATTGCTTATTAGCTTCAAGGGGAAAAATAGTGAGTAGACAGTGGAAAAATCAGACACCTTGTCATCTCCAACCAGAGACAGAAGCACCTTCTGCTGTGATAACCTTGAGGAGGACACATCAGCATAGATGGGGTGTTCCAGCCAGGAATGTATCACCTTCATCTAATCATGAGAAAACAATAGACATCCCCCCCACCCCCCACCCGAAAAAGCAAATGCTTTGCGTGTGTTTTTAAGAGAGGACTATATTCTTCAAAGATATCAGTGTTGCCATAGATTTTAAAAGAGCTAAGACAATGTTCCCAATTAATGGGAGCTAAAAAGACATAGGAACTAAATGCATTGCCTGATCCTAGACTGGATCCTGTACTGGAAGGAAAAGAAATGCTACACAGGCCATTAGATGGTCAATGGGCAAAAATGGAATATGGATGGTAGGAGATATAAAAAGATTATTATCATTGTTAAATGTATTGAAGTTGATAACTATGCTGTGGTTATATGAGAGTATCTTTATCCTTAGAAAATAGATACTTGAGTATCTAGAGGTAAATGGTAATTCTGTGTGTAACTAACTCAAATGATTCAGAAAAACTTATCAGATAGAAAGATAGACAGATGGATAGATAGAGCAAGAAAATAATAAATGGGGCAAAATGTTAATAGGTGAATTTGGGTAAAGAGCATATAGATATTTTTTCCACATTAATAAGTGATTTATTACAACTGTGACAAGGCAATTCCAAGGGTTAGGAGACTTTATAATGGGCATAAGTAGTCAGAAAAGGCTTCCTTAGGAAATGATGTGTAAGCTGAGGTCCGAAGGAAGGGGAGGTGTGAGTCTGGGAAAGGCTGGGGTGGGAAGAGGCTGCCATGTTCCAGGAACTGAAAAAATTCAAGAGTGGTTGAGGTACAGAGTGGAGAGAGGGAGGCATGAGATGAGGTTGGGCCAGGAGCCCATGGCTGAACAGAACCACCTCTCAGAGGGCAAGTTCCTGGACTCCTGGGTTGGCCTCTCATGCATGTTTTGAGTGTTTGGCAGTGTCAGAGCAAACAAAGGTGGTGTTAACTTCCCACCGAATATTTGAGGGGCAAGTTCTCTTTTTACAGGCATGTCCCTCCCCCAGATGATGAACTTCTGCTAGGCAGGAGTTCAAGTTCATTTCCAAATCCTCAGCTTTGGCATGGTGTTGGTGTCAGCACACAGTAGCTGCTGTCAGACTCACACGAGATTCGGGGAGGAGCCAGGAAAAGGGTCAGCCAAGGCCCAAGGGGTCCAGGTCTGGACCAGGCGCACTGTAGACTCCACATGTCTGGTGGTGCCATTGGTAGAACTTCTGGGAGAAGCCGTCAAAGGAGAACCAGAGACTCCAGTGACTGGAACTGGACAACTCCCTCTTCAAGGAGACTGAGCTCCCCAGAGGTGACCTGGCCCACCATTCAGTCCACCCATATGGGTATTATTGGAACTGTTCTTATTACTTTTCTGTAATTTTAAAATTATATCCATATTAAAGCTTTTTAAAACTATATAAAAGAGAAGAATGTGTTATCAGATATATTTCTAAGAGATAATATATCTGAACTGCCATGTTGCAGGTGGTGAAAGGAGACAGAAATTGCATGCCATCTGTGCAAAAAAAAAAAACACCAACCAAAAAAACACACACAAAAAAAAGCTCAAGTACTATGTACATGTAAACTACAAATAAACTAGAGATGTCCTTCCACCTTCATCAAAAGAACATGGATTGAACAGGGGGATAATTCCTTAGCAACAAAGAACCAATTCTACTCTCGCACACCCCTTGGGCTATTAGAGTCTTCTGTGACAGATTCCTTTTGGGTGCTTCTTTTCCTCTGTGCTCCTGTCATTGGTCAAGCTTCTATCAAAAGCCTAGTTTTATCCCAATTTCTTCCATATCTATTATCTCTAGCTCTGAGTTCTCCTCTGTACATCCGGACATCTCCCTTTGAATATCCTAAAAGCATGTGGAATTCAACATTTGCCATACTGAACTCAACTATCTTGTTTCTCAAATTGGATCACTGTCCTCTATGTCCTATCTCAGGTTCCTTAAGTCACAACCTGTGGGTCATCCTAGATGTGTCCTTGCCCATAACCCCAATTTCCAATCACCCAGACCTACCTATTTTGCCTCCTAAGTATTTCTCAAATCATTCCTATTCCTACTCCTTCATTATTTCTCATGTGAACTTGGTTACAACAGCCCCCTTATTTGGTTTCTCTTGCCACTACTATTATTGGAGTTCAAGATCCTTAGCATGGCATTCAACATGCAAAAAAGATAACCCACATGTCTTCATTAAGGGAGGAGAATCTGAAACATCTACACATCCCTGCCTAAAGCCCCTTTCTTTCACAATTCTGCTTGCTTGCTTGTTTTATAAAGGTTTGATGTACATATTTCCATAGGATCTATGGCATCATGGGAAAACTTGTTCCTTTTTCCAAAATAAAACAGAAGAAAATCACATTTGGATGTCCCCATGGGAGCACAATTTCTGCCCTAAGAGAAGTAACAGGAGGAATTTTTTTTAACTAAGAAAATTCATAAAAACAGCAGTACTCGCCCTAACCAGTTAGGCTTAGTGGGTAGAGCGTCGGCCTGCAGACTCAAGGGTCCCAGGTTCGATTCCGGTCAAGGGCATGTACCTTGGTTGCGGGCACATCCCCAGTAAAGGGTGTGCAGGAGGCAGCTGGTCGATGTTTCTCTCTCATCAATGTTTCTCTCTCATCGATGTTTCTAACTCTCTATTCCTCTCACTTCCTCTCTGTAAAAAATCAATAAAGGAATTTTTTTTTAACTAAGAAAATTCATAAAAACAGCAGTACTCTTCCCCATGAAAGAAAGAACTGCCCCTAGCATAGGAGCTCAGGGGAAGCAAGTGGCTTCAATCCTCCCTGACGTCTGCCTCCAGCCATTAAGGGGGTGATGCTGGTTCTGGGGCTTCGTGTCATGCAATAGAAGATGCTAGAAGCAGTGTAGGCAATTGCTAGGTGTGCTTGACACTGTTCCTGATAGGGAATTAAGTACATGTGAAGTCCTAGGCCAGTCTGTGTATATTCTATAATCCTGAAAATTCACCTCATTGTGATGAATAGAATCAAACATGCTCTAGGCCGAGGTGGAAAGCATCTCTGATTTTGCCAAGCTCTAAGGATCCTGCCAACAAATCTTCACTGAATTAATTAATGTTTGTCAGACTGGACTATGTATACCTGTATTGAGCAAACAGTACAACAGGTGACTTGCTTCAAGCCTAGACATGACCCTGGGGAGTACCATCTTTCTCTGTAAATACTTTGCAACGTTAAGAAGGTTCCTTTCACAGCGACTCAGCAGAATGCACATCTGGAAACCTCGACTGTGAATGTGGGAATGATTCCACTCACATTCTAGGCTTTTTGCAATAAACTCTTTGATTCTGAGATTCACTAAATTATAATCACTAGTAAGAGTAAATATAGGAACATCAGGAATCATGGTGAACACTGAATACAATTCAGAGACTCTCAGATAGACACTCTTAAAGCTTCTTTTCATTCGATTCATCTATCAAAATCAACGTAATATTTCTGTTAAAATGTTGTAGCCTTGTGCTAACCAACTGTAGCCCTAATTTAATAATATTTGTATTAAAATGTATTTAATGTTAAAAATGTACAAAAACATTTTGGTTTTTTCCATTTTCAAAAGTCTGTCTTACCTTATATGTATTCCAGAATTTCTGTTTCAGGTCCAAAAATATGTCATCCTTTCCTTGGAGAATACTCATACCTATTTGCAAAAACACAAATCAAAAGACTTTTAAAAGATTAAGTAGAAAGAATACTGTAAAAGAGTTTAAGTTTCCTATTTCTATATGTAAAGTAACCACCACTACCACTCACTCAATATGTACTTTCTGACTCAACATAGAAAAGAGAATATCATCTCCACTCTAAAACTAGATAAATTGTTAAAGGAATGATAAATATGAAGTGAGATTAGTAGGGTATAAAAGTTATAGGGGAATGATTTTTTTATTATTTTTTTTAATGTTTAAAAAAATTGATTTCAGATAAGAAGGGAGAGGGAGAACGAGATAGAAACATTAATGATGAGAAAGAATCATTGATCGGCTACCTCCTGCATACCCCCCACTGGGGATCAAGTCCGAAACTCAGACATATGCCCTGACCAGGAATCTAATTGTGACCTCCTGGTCCATAGGTCGATGCTCAACTGCTGAGCCATGCCTGGCAGGCATAGAGGAATGATTTTTTAAAAAAAAAAACTAAGAAAATTCATAAAAACAGAAGTGTTAGGATAGTGAGACCATTGGTGACTTTTTTTTTCTCTCCCTTTCAAATTTTCTGTGAAATGCTTAAAATTTTTAAAACTTAATTACCTTTTTTTTAAAAAAAAAAAGGCTAACGGGGGGGGGGGGGGGGGGACCAAGAAGGCGGCATAGGTAAACACCGGAGATTGCTGCCGCAAACAACCACTGGCGGAAATACAACTAAAAGACGGAACGGACATCACCCAGAACCATAGGAAGGCTGGCTGAGGAGAGACTCTTCAACTAGAAGGAAAGAGAACAGCATACCGAGGCTCAGAAGAGGCGCAGTGTGGAAAATACAAAGGTGCGGAGGTGCACGCGCAAAGCGGGGTGGTGGCTGAGGGCGCGGTTGTCGTTTTCAATCAGGAGGGAGTCTCAGACTCTGAGCTCCAGATCCGGGCGAGTCTCTAGGGACCCAGACTCAAACGGGAGAAGCAGGATTGTCTGGCATCAGTTGGAACGTGGGGGCAGCTTTCTCTCCGAGGTTTGCAGGGGTTTGCTGGGGGTTCTGAGAAGCAGAGCCTCCTGGGAACAGGACTGAGAGCGGCCATAACCACTCCCTCCGCCTGCCCCTGTTGATCCCGCCCCCGCCCAAGCCCTGTGCAGAGCCATTTGGCCGGATAGCCCTCAGGCAAAGGCTAGATTAGCACCCTCTCCAGAGGACAGAAGTTTTCCCAATGCAGATACAGCTGATTCTCACAGCCCGGCCGGCCTGGGGGCAAATCCCTCTAGTATTACTACAACAATCAAGGCTTAACTAGAACAAGACTGCCCACAAGACCACAAGGGGGTGCCCCAAGAAAGCATAAAAAAATGCGGAGACAAAAAGGATGACAGAAATGGAGGGTATAGAGCTGAAAAACGCAATTTTGAGGGGCTTTCAATTATGGTGCTAGAAGCTGGCCAATAAAACTGGATGAGGAGCCGTCACGAAATCTAATGGAGACGCTCGGA